AAGGTCATGAGGATACAACGACTCGACAAGTTACGCAAACTGCGGAGTCATGATGTGAATGACAAAGAAGAGGAAGAAGAAGTGCCTGTGCAGACGATTCCGATGGTCACGAGCACTAAAGGGTTTCTTGCGAATATATTGGACTTGGTGAAGACGATTTGGTTCAAAGTCATTGACATGACGATCAACTTCTTGCATTGGAATAATATCGTGTATCGACTCAATTTGAAACCAAAAGCAACGACGGAGGAGATAGAGAGTAAAATGGAGGAGAGGATGATGGTGGCGAATGAGGAAGACGCTGTGAATAAGCACAAAATATTTGGATATAAAAGCCCGACGAAGTTGACGAAAGAAATGCAGATGGAGAGTGTGGAGGAGCAGAAGAAGGAGATACGAGCCGTTGAGAATGAGGCGATTTCGGAACAAAAGATGAAGGAAAAGATGCGCCGATACGAAGAGGACATATCGAAAGGAGACGACGGACTTGTTTCGGTGTCTTCCTCTTCGGATGAGGAAGTTGATTTGACGAAGAAAAAGGAGAATCGAGTTGCGCGGATATTACGGAAGTCACGAGAAAAGCTGAGTCGGAAGAGAAAGGGGAAGACCCCGAATGCCGTTCCTGAAGATCATACCAAGCAAGAGAAGAAAGAGATAAGTACTCAGAACGAAGACCATTCCCTGTCTAGTGATGAAGATGGTGATGAAGACATAGCGAAGAAGGTGAAGTTTGAACGGATGGAAGAGAAAGGAGATGAAGACGTAGCACAGGAAATAAGTGAAGAGTCTGAGGGGAGCGAAGAGATAAGAAGTGAAGACGATGAAGAAGAGAAAGAGGAACATGCCAAGTCCACTGCCATTGCAAAACCGACGCCAATACGACGAGGGAAAAAGAAGGTGGTGATGTGTCAAGAAATGGTATTAACGAAGGAGTCTCCGGAGGAGATGAATCCGATTCAACGACCTTTAAGTCCACATTCGCCACGATTTTCCCCATCGAGTCGAGCGTTAAGTAGTACTGAATTAGAATTAATAGATATAGAGCAGACTGAAGGGAAGTATCCATATCATGGCAGATTCTATTTAGTCATTTGGGGACTTTACTTCTTCTTTTCGCGACAAACGGAAGCACTTGTCCAAGTCATTTTCATTCTGAATGCAGTGATCAATAGAAATATTCTGAGTGCGATCTACCCGATTGCCGCGTTTGGGATTGTGGCGGTGTCAAGGAAACCATTTCCATCGAAGAAGTTCTGGACATTCATGTCGGTGGTGTCTGTTGTCTTGATATTGGTCCGCCTCTTCTTCCAATTGCCAGGGTTTTGTATTAAACCGAATGCAAAGGAGACGTATGACGTTCTGTCATATACCACTTCAGTGTATGATGTCGACACGATGCAATGTTCGGCAACCCCATTAACGAAGAACCACATGAGTTTCATATATATCTTTGGGGTCTACCCGGTGTCGTCCTATTTTCTATCAAGGTTTGTGTGGGACATCTTCTGTTTGTTTGCGATTTTGGTGCACATCTTGTGTATGAGGAATCGTGGGTATTGGGAACAACAATATTTGTTGAGACGGGAGTGGTCGAATGTGGTGATTGAAAACCACCGGCGCGAACTTGTGAATAAGATCAAACCGAACACGTTTGGGGAACTGAAATTCATTGTCGAGGCGCTGAAGGACTTTGAACCGAGTGAAGGGGATGTGGACCACTTTGCATATAAACAACACGACTTATTTGTTGTCGAGGCGATTCAAGTGGACGGCCAACTGTTTGTGACGAAAGGGAATTATAAGGGACTTGTTGACTGTGAAAACTTTAAGGTCTATGAGCACACGACGAAGTCGATAGCGCGGAAAGAAAAGAGTTCGCCAGTGATCTATAAAAAGACGTTTAAAAAGAGTTATCGAGTGAAGGAGGAGAAGATCAATGACGAGTTTGAGATGGCGAAAGAGAATGAAGAGAAGATGTACCTGACGAAGTCACTTGAAGTCAATCAGGTTGTCACCGAAATGAGTCTTCAACAGTTCTTAAAGGGACAAGAAGTCTATTTGAAAGATCAGGAGACGATAGAACTGAATAAGTCTAAAATGACGCAATTTTTTAATCGAACGAGGTTGGGACTGAAAATTTATTATGACCATTTAGTGAATGACAAGTTTAAGACGGGAGCTGATTATTATATACCGATGTTTATCTGTGAGGTGATCTGTTTTGTGTTTTTAATAGTCTTCCAAGGGAGTTTCACGAATTTACAAGGGAACTTTATCGAGTTTTTTACGAGTGATTATCTTCCTATTACATAGTTTGTTTTTTGTTCTTATTTCTCTCCTTTGTCTGTTGAAAAGAATTCGTTTAAGAAAGAGGTGGTCTTCTTTTTTAAAAATTTTTTAAAAAATTTTAAATAGAAATGATATATTCAAAAAAATTTCAACGAAATACTTACAAACAGCGTTTGTTTCTTTTTACTTGTTTTTTAATATGTCATGTTAATGTGTAGGTGTTGGGACTGTTATTACAGTTTTGTATGATGTTGTTAGACCGAATTATATACTTATTGAAGTCACTGAAACTGAAATTGGCGATGCAAGTGTTTTCGATAGTTCTGTACCACATCTTGATCTTGGTCTATTTCCCATCACTTGTCAAGACGGAGTCGAAGATGATGACGGCGTCTTTAGTAGTCTTCTATTTGTTTAAGATAGTGTATTGGCTCATCTCAGCGGTGCAGATTCGTGTTGGGTATGTCCAACTTTCATCGAGTCGAATCTTGATGAGTTCGTACTCGTTTTATTCTTCATTGATCTTTTCGATGTACTACACATTACCATTTGTGTATGAGATACGGACCATCTTGGATTGGGTGTTTGCGAATACGTCAATGTTTTATAAGCGGTGGCTAAAAGTTGAGGACATCCACGCCGAGTTGTTTATGAATCAATGTGATCGCACAGTAGAAAGGAATCGGAATCATGTGTATGGGCAACCTCGAGGATATATGGAACGTTTTACAGGGGGGTGTGTGACCTTGATAATCATGTTGGCTATATTATGGTTTCCATTACTTTTGATGTCATCCGCTGCGCCCAATTTTGCGCAACCGTTGCCCAAGAATTTGGAGATGTCGATTGGGTTTTTGGGGGTAGGAGAGATTTATAAGCAGCAACAGAGTCAATTTTCGAATATGTCTGATGAAGACTGGGACTATTTTCATAGACATCACAAGAACGCGCAGTCGAGTAATGAAGTGCTGTATACGACGATGGTGTCACCGAATGCGATGACGTACTGGATGATCACGAAAGACAAAAGAAATGAATTAAAGGATGGCTTGAAGGGGGGAGGAGTGATGAGTATCTATTACCAAATTAATATGAGAAGGGAAGGCACGTCTGCGGAGGATTCATTTATGATGTACGAAACGAAAGACTTGAATGCGACGGAAAAGAAGTATTTTTTGGAGATCTTGGACCAAAAGGAGGTGGAGTGGACGTTTGATTTGGTGCCCCAATTTTTGAAAATGCCAACGTTGTCACAAAAAGCCGTGCTACAAAAGGGAGACGACTTTGTAATGCAATTGAGACCGAAGCTGAAACAAGACGATGTGGATGAACGATCACAATATTGGCAATTTATTAATTGTTCTGCATTAGAAGGAGTGATGGTGTGCGATGAAACGGAAAAGACCAAACTGTATATTGCATCACCAAAAGTGCCAAATAGCGGGTTGATCTCATCATTGAGTTCACTGGGGATTATCGGACTGTACTCTGTTGTTGTCTTGTTCTTGTACTCGTTACTGAAATCGAATTACTCGGGGATGGCACATATCATCATGTTTAAAGACTTGCCTGATTGTTTGGGGCTACTGCAATTGTGTGATGATATCATTATAGCGCGACAAGATGGGGATTTAAGACTTGAAGAAGATCTAGTGAATGAATTACTGCTGATATACCGCAAGCCTGCGTTGTTATTTGAAAGAACTGTGAAGAAATGAAATAAGTAAATTGTGGGTATGTTATTTAATACCTTCTTAATGTTGAGAATGTGAGATAAGTTTATTTATCCATTTTATAAGGATAGAAAAGAATTAAAATAGAAAAAGAGTGATTAGTGGAGTGCTTTAATAGATAGAACACGTCTATTTCATCAAGAGAGTATTGAACCAATGAAATGAAAGATATTATGTTGAAAACTAGAAAGAATACTAAAAGAATAGTAAAAAAGGTAAAAATTATAAATAGAATTATCAATAATTTGTTCCATTAGATCAAGAAATAGAAGAACAAGTCGACTTATTAATTCTTGAATTTAGAGAACTCATTTCTGTATTGTTATTGAGAAGGGATGAACATTAACTACTCTATGACACCAACACCTAAAGAAAAAGAAGAAATCATTCACAACGACGCGGAAGCAGAATATCAACTTGTCTATAGTAATGTGTTGCCAATCTCACGAAACTATTGCCACAGTAAATGCGTAATTGGTGGGGGATATTACAGAGTCTATATATCAGTTGTGATGGTCTTGGTACCTACGATATTTCACTGGATTGCGTCGTTTGTTTTTAGGATGGAAAGAAAGAATGTACTCATCGACAGTGTGAGGTGGCTTATAGTCGATTATAACATTGCGTGGTTTATCCCATCACTCTTTTTCTTCTGTACAATTGTTGTTTGTTTTCATTGATAAATTTCTATGAATAAATAAGATGAAATAAATTGATTAGAACTGCGGGGAACGAACTCATGTCAAGCTCCTGGATATCTTCACGACGAACGCGAACCCGGGAATAATCCCTCGAAAGATCAGAATGATTGGAATTACCCCCCAACGGTGCAAAACATGTGACGAAAACGTGCAACTCCAAAATGCAGAGTATGTAACGAGGAAATACTGCGTCACATGTTTAATAGTCAGACCATTAAGAAGTTCTCACTGCTCATATTGTAACAATTGTGTTGACAAATTTGATCATCATTGCCCTTGGTTTGTTTCAATATAAAACTATTTAAATCAGTCGATAGAGAGTATACTATATATATAGTAGTATATATTAATAATTATAAGTATAATAAATTAATAGTAGAAGTATAATAACTTATAAATAGGTTGGGGAATTGTGTGGGGCGGAGGAATTACAGGTCGTACTTCTTCCTTCTCTTTTGGAGTGTAATGTATTTGGCGTATATCATGGTGTGTTCTTTGGCGGGACTTTTAGTTCCAATTGAAAAGCCATGGAGCTGGAAGGCGTTTTTGAAGTCTTGGAAATCGCACTACTTCTTAGAGTTTGTTATTACTATATATTTAGTATTTTAAACTATATAGTATGTATAGAATATATAGTATATTTACTATTATAAAAACTATTCAATCAAATTACACAAAGACCCTTCATTTTCCTCTATTGCTTCGTCTGTTTTGGTTTAATTGGCTATTTGTTCACTCGACACGTCATCCAAATATCCTTTGGTCAAACAACAAACGAGAAAAGAAAGAAACTCCGCGCTTACGACATGGGTTTTATTAAAAATTGGACGGACTTCTTGTTCAGTCCAATTCCACCACCATTTCCACTCCTTAGGTCAAAACCAAAGAAAACAAAACAAGCAAAAATGATTCAAGAATACATGCCACTCCAAATTGAACTTCAAACACCTCCAAACGGCATCGATGTTAAAATAGAAAAATGAACAGAAAAGTATTCTATTAAATTAAACTATAAATAATTAGTTTAAATTATAAATAATTAGTTCTTTTTTCAACAAACATTAAAAAGTTTTTTAATTAAATCAAATTAATTAAATTATTAATTAAAAACCTACTAAAATAAAGAATTAAAAGTGAACTATACAAAAATAGTAAATTAAACTATTTAAAACCCAGTAGCTCTTTGTTGATTGATGAATTACAGACAGACAACGTCTTAGTTCTTTTCTTCGAGAGTATTCCTTCTCCTGTTGGACAAGTTAATTTTGAACTGGAAGTAATCGGGGAAGTTCACTGGCTGTTTTACAAATATCGAGGAGTCACATTCAGTTCCTTTTGCCCACTTTGGTAACACGTATTTGTTGACGGTCCCTATTACCGTCTTTTTTCGAGGGTTTAACATCTTCATTCCTGATACACTGATAAAGGTCTGCTCTGTACTGGCTACACTCCCAACGCCTTCAGAATCCATCTCGACCCCCTGATCATTGTTGAAGACTGTTTCAGGTAATTCGACTTTTTTGGCACTTTGAATTGCTTTTGTCCGTTTGTCGAGGATGTTTGTCTGTTTGTCGACACGGGTGAGGATCTGGCTGAGGATCTCACAGCGCATCGAGAGCCAATCCTCTGTCGCAAAGGTCTTAAATTTGCGACATGTCACATTCAACGCGTTTAATAAACTCTTTTGCTCATCGATAAGGACTGAGGTATCGATTCCCCCCATCACGACATAAAGGACAGAGTAGATCTTCTTTTCCTCAAAGACCGGCAAGAAGGCGTCGATCTTGTTCATCACTAAGAAATGTGTGATATAGAACATGTTGTGTGAAGGGAGTGGAGGGATTTTCTTTGAGGTCTTCAAAGCAGTCGTCACCGTCATTGAGATATTTAATCGCAAAGTCTTCAATTTAGTGATTTGTGTGTTAAGTCTTCGAAACCACGGGTTTGTGTGGTCTAAGAATATTATTAAAGTTTTCTTAGTCAAAGACTCGGGATTGTATAATGAGAAGTCATCAATAAAACACTCAACGCGATCTTTATAGTTCTTTTCTTTCATCATATTCTTCACTTCATTATAATTGAAAACAGCGTGATTTTTGTGTAATATAAATAACACGCGGAAATACGTGGCGTTCTGTGTCACATTATAAAAGTTCGAGAAGTCCAAATTCGTCCCTAAAGGAATGTCGCCACGTGGAAAAAAGAGAATGACCCCCGAAGTCTCAGTACTGATCTTCTCTTTTTTTCTTGACGCTAATATACCGGCATACGTGAGGGCAGGCCCACACCCATAATCCGCTCCTAATAATATTGTTCGGTCTTGGCGATACCCAGTGGTGTGCATATGAAGCATCACCGCATCAACCATTTTGTCGAAGGGCAAGTCTTGAGTGTTCTTGTTAAGCCCATAGCCCGGATAGTCAAACGTGAATGCACGCGCTCGAAATAATTTTGATAACATGACGAGTACTTTGTCGATATCGGTTAAGTCCTTTTCTGGACTGTGGAACACTAACAGTGTGAAGTTATATGGATTTCTTCATGTTAATTCATAGAAGTATAATTTTACTATATTCAACTAGAGTTGACTGTGTTTGCAAACATAAATACACGTCGATGAATAACACTGATTCATTTCTTATGTATTTATTATATGCTATTTCAACGATATTCCTTTCTTATTTCAATGGGTTAGTGGTACTATTTATATAGTATAATGAATTATAATAAGTAAACTAAACAAACTCCTTACTAAGGACATATTTGACGGGTATGTCCTGATACCCAGGGCATGGAACCATGACTATTCCTTTGTTATTGGGTGTATAAGTGGTTTCGTGCGACGGTGGATGTGATAAAATATATTGATATTGTGGATCCATTAAGTTGTATTCACTGAATTAAAAATGAATTTGTTTGTTAGTAATTGTAAATTTGTGCTTTTAAAAAAAATGACCCGAATTTATCGTGTAGAATGAAAGACGTTATTATCCACTTTTTTTTGATTTTTTTCAACTTACTTTTGGTGTGTTTTGTATTTTAAGTTGACTTGGGGTTTTTCTATTTATTTGTCGTTAAAAACCATGTTTAATTTTTCATTATTTGTAGGATTTTTATAATATTATTTTTCTATTAATTTGTAATGTGTATAATTATTTTTTGTTATGTTTGTTTTTAACAGAATTTGAATAACCATTAATAATACTATTTTATCTTTTCTTAAATAATTTCTAAAAAAAAATGACTATTTTAAACAAAAAAAAGAAATGGACTTTAAAATAATTAAAATACTATAAAATTATTATTTTTTAATAATAATTGTTTTCGTATAAATTTTGTTGTGAATGCCAAAAAAGGCAAATTATCAATTAGTAAAATTGTTGAAATTATATAATAAATTATAGTTTTTAAATGTAACTTAATGTATCTATTTATAGTAAAAACTAGTTCTTTTATTTTAATTTTAAAAAATGTTTTTTATTAATAGGATACTTTAATTTTTGCTAATAAAAACCAAGTTAAACTTTAAGTTAAAGTTTGACTATAATTATTATTATTTGTTTTATTTTTGTTTATGATTATATTGTATTATAAATATACTATAATTTACAATTAAAATAAATAAGTCAATAATTGAAATGTTTTTTTATTTTTCGATTTTAAAACTTTTTTTTTAAATTTTCATGAAGATACAAACTACAAGTATATTTTACAATATGTATAATTATAATTATATTAAATAAGTAATTATAGTATATATATTAGTATAAAGTAATAATATGATTAACCAAGTAAACAACTATGATTTTAATAATGTTTTTATAAACAGTTTCTATTAAGAGTACTTTCATTAAATTAATATCATAATAAATTTATATGATAACAAAAAACTACAAGTTGTTTTAAAAAATATTACCTCTTAATATCACTAATTACTGTTGTTAACCAAAAAAGTCAGAAACCAAATAATTGTAAAAAGTAAATTAAGTAGTTTTAGAACTTTAATCAATAACTATTATAAAAATAGATTTAAGCGTCCCATTATTATTTATTGAACCTTTTTTTCATATTTTTTGATTAAGGTTAATCAATAAAAAATACATCCTTCTGACAATTATTTGGTCTTGTAAATTTTAACAAAAAAAGTTAAAATTTACAATATAAACTTCACAGATTAAAAATTGGGTTGAGTAAATAAACTTCACATTAACTGGAAAAGAATGACACAAATCAATAAGACGACTACTCATGGTACTGTCTCAAGAGGTCCAAACACCTTTGATCGAAACGGGCCAGTGTTGTTAAACACGAATTAAGTGGTTCGATAGCTGCGATTGTGTAGTCTTCTTCTTGATATTTCAAATATTCACTCGCAAGTGTGTAGATGTCTTTTTGTTTAGTGAAGTCAACAAGACGTTCTTCTCCACATGCGTAGTACTGATATTTACCACTCTTTACTGTTGCTATATTATCGAGTATAGTCCCACTGTTTGTGATTATATATATTAATAAATATTATAATAAATTATATTAAATATTATAATAAACTATTAAACACCTTGTATGACAATTATAGTTCTTTGTAGTTAATAATTAGAAAGAAACAAACATATAGGGCACACACACTTTAAACTTCTTATACGTCGATTTTAATGTTTTACTATTAGTGAAGAGTTTCTCTGCATGTGCAAATATCTCTTTCTGTTTCTCGGGCACAAAACATTTGTTGAAGTCCAAGTTCACCATTTGTATACCGCTGTAGACTCCAAATGCCGAGTTGAAGTCTCCCAAGTTAATTAAGCACCTCAACACATTTGCAAATAAATTCTTCATAAAAGCTCTACTAGCAAAATCCGTGAACGTGAGTGTTGCTGTGCACACGAAACTCGCGAGGTCTTCCATTCTATTAGTGATCAAGTCCACCACTCCTCCCGTCTCAAAGAAGTCGTATATCTTGAGCTTTTTGTACATTTTGAATGAAATTGTAGTCAATTGATTTGCAATATTCTGTGGGTCTGTGACTGCCAGTGTCATGAAAGGGGAAAGTTCTTGTGATGGTATTAAGAAGTCGTAAATCGGTGACAACACTTCCGTCGTTTTCTTCATTAATGAGTGTTCCATCACGCCATACATACTCTTTAATTTGATAAATAGAGGCGACTTGTCTTCAGCCACAAACTTTTGGAGTTGCGTCTGGTCACACTTCTCAAAGATCGTTTGCATTACCTTCTGTGCTACAAGCTCTTGATTTCCTGCAGGTAAGCCTTCTAAGATGTCATAAATCCTTTGCCCAAATTGCACTAACATGGAATAGACGATGTCCTCTATCTGCGCATTTGTCCGACTTTTTATTAATAAACCAGCTACCCCACCAGCAATGACTTTGTTCTTCGCTGTGATCACTTTCTGTGAGACTAAAATAGACTCTTCGATGGGAGATGTCTCTGTTTTGTTCTGTAAAGAATAGACTGCGGAGGTGTATCTTCTTAGATTCACAATTATAGTATTAAATAAAGAAATCATTTCGAGGAATAACAAGTGCTCGTTCCTGAAGAACATTTCGTTGCACAATTCAACACTTTGTGACGCATGAAATATCAAATTTTTCTCATCTTTTGGCTTCAAGTGGATGATGTGCCAGACAACACTTAAAACAGAACTCCCTGCACTTTTAAGTGCTTTTTTGGACTCTTCAATACCAGCTATCCCCTTTGGACTCTTGTCATTCTTATCAAAGACGTCGATTTCTTTAATGAATGAAATCAGTCCAGAAATCGTTTCAGAAATGTCGTTCTCGGAGCTTTGATATAAGTCGGCCGCATTGCCGCCGACAACTTCAGAGGCCTTTTTAAAGATGTTTGGAATCATTTTGAGTAACTCGACACAGACCCGTTTCAACTCGTTGGCACCTAAGACTAACTCCTCGTAACACTGCAAAGCTCCAAAACATGTGATGTCCTCTATTAACGCGGGGATTTGAGACGAGAAGTTCACGAAATCGACATACGCCATCTTTTCATACTCTTCCATCCGATGAAGCATCTCGTCGTTCTCGATTTCGTGCGTTTGGAGGAAGTGCGTCATCACCGCCATTGCCCCGATGATGCGCATTTTTGTCGAACTCTTGCGGATCGCGAAACTCGTCAGCGAGAGCTTCGCGGGCATCCGCGAGAAACTCTCCGACGTCATGTCGACTTTGTCGTAAAACTCTCCGATGGCGCGCTGGGGGTATGTCTCCGAATTCTTGTGGGCAAAGATGCGTTGCGCGAAAACGTCTGCTTCGCACAGAGTGAACAACTTTAAAATGTCTCCGTGCGATTTCTCAAAGATCTTTTGATAATTTGCAGTGATTTTTGGGTCGTTTAGACACTCTTTTCTTTCAAGCAGAAGGTTCTTCATTTTCTCATAAACTAAACTCGCACACTCCATGTCAGCACTTTCTGGGAGAAGGCTGAGGATATTCAATTTCTCACTTTCTATAGGCGCTGATTGAGAAAGAACACATGAGGAATGGTGCGGTGAAGTGTTCGGAGACTTTGGAGTCTCCGGTCTCCGACCAACTAAAAAGGCGGAAGACCGATGCGACTGACTTGGTTTTATAAAAGAACCAAATTGAGGCGAGGATGATTGGTGCCATGAGCCAAACAATTTTTGACCTGAAAATCGATTCTCCTTTTTCTTTGAAAAACAGTCGATGTCGTCGAGCAACGACTTAATTGATGATATTGTGGTTGTCGTGTTCTCTGGAGAAAGGCTGCGGTCTTTTAAAGATACTATCAAATTCGAAAGGGATTTCACTTTGTCCCGTGCACTCGGCGCGGCCGTGTCTTTGAACTCTTCAAACAACGAATTCAAATTTGTGATGTGCATTGTTTGATCTTCTGTGTTATTTGTCGTCTTTAAGTGAGTGTATAGGTTGTATTTGAAATGTTTAATATAATGTTGCGTTATAATATAATTTGTAATGGTGTTATAAACATTATACGGATATTGTCATGTTAAAAGTAATACTACAAATGTCAAGAATAAGTGTTGTATTTCTGTTAATTTGATGTTGAAGAGCCACCAATAATATGCGTAAGAAAAAATAGGGTGTGTTGCAAAATATAAATTTCCAAAGTTCTTGGCATTATAAAGGAATTTTACGTATTATTTTGTTACGCTGTTCTATTGTTCGAAGAACTTAAATTAATAGACAAACATAAGACAGTGACAGCTTGGTCAATATATCGTTCATCTCTGAGATAGTAAGTTCGATGGGTTTATCTGTCATAGTCTGTAGTATGTAACAAATAGTTAGTTGCTCAAAAATTTCAGGAAGAAAGAAGAGTTTTTATTAGAGGTGTTTATTTCTTAAGTACTAATAAATAATCCATTCGCTTGTAACCATACCTTATTTTCGGGTGTTTTCAAAAACGCCTTTTGGTGGACTTTGTCAATTCAAAGTTAAAATTGTCTTCTCAGAAAAGAAATAACTTTAATTATTGTATTCAAGGTAGTTTAAAAGTAGTTTATATTATATAATACACAAGATTAGATGGTATGGTGATATAATGCCAAACACGCCGAAAAGGGGTTTCTTTCAATTGGGAGTACATTCCCTCCAAATTAATAACATTTTTCGAAAAAATATTACTATAAAAGTGTTATAATTTATTATAGAAGATTCAATCAATAAAGTATTGAAAAAATTAGGTACAATAAAGGAATTGGATACAAAAATAACACATTTCACTGGCAAAAATTGGGAAATTGGGTATATGTTAAAAATGGGTTGAATATTTAATTGACCAAAAACAAGAAAAAGTCAGTGTTGACAATTTGAAGGCAAATGCGTTTCTCTGGTGAACAAATGAAGTAAAAATTTGACAAATAAGTAAAAAGAATCAAATTTGTCTTTTGAAAAATAACATTCAAATGAATTCATGAGAAAGTATTAGACCATTTTTGTGTAAATAGTTAGGAATTATTAATGAAATTAATTCTATTTTTGAATTGTAATGTTACTTTTATTATAGAAATATTTTTTTATTTTGAAAATTATTTACTTCGGACAAATTATAAAATGTATAATAAAAACATTTATTTGTTCATGTTATATTTTATTATAAAATATAATTATAGTTATTATTTTTTAATTATTGCAATAATATATTGATATATACTTGATTATTAATTACAAATAACTATATAAACTATTAATTATTATAGTCGGGTGATAAAGGGGGTTAATTTGGGACAGAAGTAGTTAATTTGAGTAAAAAACTATAAAATATAATTTATTTAACCATAAAAGTATTAGAAGGGTTTTTTCAATTAACTACTTTGAAAATAATAAAAGAAAACCATAACTATCTATTTTTGATATTATTCAATCTTTGAAAACAATGGAAGAAGAAGAGAAAGGAACCCTTGATGAAATAACCACAGGCAATCAACATAAAAAAGCAATTTAAATACAAGAAACCAGTTTAAAAACTGTATTTCAATATATATTCATGATGTATATGGTTAAAATGCCAGAGTTTAATGAATTAACAACAGTGTCAATTTTTGAAAGTGTCAGGGAATCACTGAAAAATCATCATTTGTTATTTCAATCTTTCAATCTTTCGTTGTTGAACCATTTCCATTGAGAAAAGATAAGAGAAAGACCATTTTAACATAAAAACAATTGGAGTTGAAAAAGAGCAGAAAAGAAATGAAACAAAGGAAAAAACAAAGGAAAAATTCTTTAACAAAACAAGTTTCAGACAAACCATAAAAAGTGCTGCGTTTTAGACTTCCACATTTTTTAAGTGAACAAATTGAGGTGTTTTTGTTTATTTTTGAAATAGAAATTTATAATTATTCAATTTATAATCATTTAAAATAAAAAACGATAATTTATATTATTATTTTAATTTTATGTTTATTTTGACCTTTAAATAGATTTTTTAAAAATTATAGTTTCAAAATTATATTTATCAAAATTAACTACCTTTGTCCCTTTTTAATGCCATTTATCCCCCGACTATAATACATATTTATACTAAATTAATACAAATAGTATATTTATATAATATTTTAAATTTTAAAAAAATAGAAAATAGAATAATAGTCTAGTTTAATAATAATAAAATTTTTATTAATTATACTATAATTAATCAACACAGTAAGAACACAAAGAATAGAACAGAAATTAAAAAGGCGCCAAATCGTCGGCATCATTTGGAAGCAACGAAGAAGTATTTGAATCGTCCAAGTGTTCTTTAGTCTTTTTGAAATTCCAGTACAGCCCAAATAACAAGGATTCCATTAATACCATAACAACCAAAAATATGATAGAAATATATCCAAGTGACTTCAGCCCGACTCCAACTGCTTTGTAACACGTCTTTCCACGAGGGACTTGTGCATTACAGTCGTAGTAATGATTCCACCCGCAGCAAACAAACTACACTATTAATAAAGAGTTAATAAAAGATAGTAGTAGTATTATATATAATTAAAGAATAGTTAAAAGTATAGTAAAGTGATCTCTAACAAACATTTCTTTCAATCGAAGCTAATTGGAAACTCTTTTCAGTGACTTTAGAAACTTTGACGACTATACGAATGGAAGTGATAATCAGAATGATGGTCATCAACACAGCAAAGCATTCAACTATTATAGCATACTTCTTCGGATGATTGTCTGACATCAAATACCCTGCAGCACCACCAATAATACCCGTCACAACAAATGACATCCCCATCGTTATCAATCGCACTCCCAGAAAATCCGCTTTCATATACTTAATCGACACTATCAGACCTATTAATAAAAATATTAAACTCATTACTATTTGAGCTACACACAGAATTTTCTTCGATTGATTCTTGTCTAGTACCATTCCTCACAAATTTCAAGTTCGATCTTTTGCAGTTTGAGTTTATATAATATAGTTTTTATACTATTAATACTTTTGTCTTATCTTTTTGGTCACTTAATTAACGAGTTTATTTTTATTAACGATGTATTGTAGTAACATTAGTTTTTACTATTACTATAAAAACAATTGAATACCAATTTTACAATAATAATAACTTGTTAGTAAAATCGAATTGTATTATTAGACATAGTAAAATTTGCTCGTTAATTTTTGTTTTAATTAACGAGTTTATTATAATTATTTTTATACACCAAGTCCAAGGAAATGTTATTTAAAATGTTATTATTAATTGACGTAACTAATGATTATAACCTGTTCTTCGCACCAATTAAATCTTGACGTACACAACCGGGAAAAGAATAAAAACAGAAAGGAAAACCCCGACGAAATTGCAATAAAAAAACCAATGAAAAGCCGACAAAGAACTTCAAAAAGGTTCACCGAACTTTTTAATATGAAAAAGCGGTAGAACTTCAGAAACTAAAATCAGATCCAGTCATGGCGACTTCGAACCAAGCGTATTTTGAAACCATTCGCGCGACACTGAACAGCGCGCTGTGTGTGATTAACTTTGCAAGTCAGCTGATTGAGCGACACAATAAGCCCGAAGTCGAAGTAGGTATCTCTAAGGAAATAGTCTTTAAACCAATTGTGATTGTCAGAGTCCCATCACAACCAGATAAAGACGAGCCCGCTGTCGACAAATGCGAGAAGGTGATGATCGAGGGTTCCGTCAACTCCGCAAGAATTTCAATTTGCATTAAGAAGGCCGACGGCTTGGAAGTCATTTTACTCAGAAGATTTGTTTCTTTCCTTCAACAAAGAGCTGAGTCCTTTGTCATCTTAAGAAGAAAACCAATCCAAGGCTATGACGTCTCCTTCTTGATCACTAACTTCCACTTGCAAGACCTCTACAAACACAAATTGATCGAATTCATCGTCGACTTCATGGGCGAAATCGACAAGGAAATCTCTGACATGAAGATCTCAGTAAACACTAGAGCTAGAGTCACTGTCGCGGGTATCACTGGTAACAACCCAGCTCCAGGATTCTTCAAGTCACTCTTGGCGTAATAAATGACTCTTTTTCAGTTTATTCAAACACGAATATATCTTAGGTATTGATATTCTCACATCTAAGGTAATTTGTTTAAGTTTTTTCATATTGTATATGACTCCATTAGTTTTGTATTATTATAGTAATATAAACTAATAATAGTATTAATAATATTAATTAAACATTATAATAATTTTATATTTTGTTAATTAAATAATATAGTTTTTAGAATAAGAATAGAATTAATGGAATGACAAAAGTACTCAGAGAATACACAGAAAGCGAACTATCTCGACGAATATCAGCGTCTGTATATCCAAATAGGTAGTCTGCCCATCCACTCTCAAAAGTAAGTTTCCCATTCTCAAATTGACTGAGAAGTGGGTAGTCCCTTCCAATGAATATTCGGTATATCCCCATAACACCAACCCGGTCTCCATTACTATCAAAGGAAACTTTCCCAGTCGCTCCTTCAAATTTCACACCTGTGAATTTGGAGAAATTGTAAGTGGACCCGGACGCACTCCACCCTTTTACTATAGCAGTCACTGCGTCATAGTAACCACTTCCAAGGGGGGGCAGTGGGTCGCCGAAGTTACTTTTTCTATACGTTATTAAATATTATAATTATATAAATATATTACTATTATACTTATATAATAGTATAATAGTTAAAAAATAAAACAAACAATTCTTTGATGATGTTGTTATCTACTGACAGTAAATTAGCAACAACAACATTTGTATTTTTGTTGATAACATCTTTGAACCCGGCATCAGTAAATTCAGTCTCGGATATGACCATTGCGGCATCTGTTAAGACCCACATGTGCTTTGCGTCTAACGCCTTTGGGAATCGTTTCCACGTGTCGAACAATTCTTCCATGTACATATTAGAAATGATCACTGGGATGTCGTAGACTTGTTGCATGAGGCTCTCCATTGTATTTGAATAGACGACACCAAGTAAGGAAATGTTTTTCTCGTTGCAGAGTTTATTCACTCTGAAGTACCCTGAGTTTCCGGACGGGTCGTTAGTGTAGATCATCGCGACGTTCTTCTTATTAAAAGCATCTACAAAGGCGACGATAGAGGAGAACGAGAAGGAATCGACGGGAATTGTTCTTAAAAAGTTGGGGAAGTCAATGGAGTTCGATAAAGTGTCTGATGTTGCCGAGTTGGATATGATCGGAAGCTCTTTGGCATTTGTTTTGAAAACATGGATGTCTTGTTGGACTATCAATTCACTTGTTGTTGAACTGATTGTGTCACCTATAATGGCGTAATTGATGCCATCTAACACCATTTGACCATGTGTGTCATGGACAGTTGTTAAATTGTCGGGGTCGGGGTGATACGCGTGTAACACGACATCGACATTGTGCTTTTTAAAAGTGTATTCGATGATTCTGAAATATGTTTCGTTGTAAGCAATATCTTCTGGTAAATTATTTATACTCACTGCTACGTGATTTGCACTTAAAACTAAATGTATGAGAAGTGCAAAGAACCACAAATACATTGATGATTTTAGTTCACTGAATTACTACTGATGAAACGAATGGTATTAATTAAACTATTTATATTGTAATTTTAAAGTATTAAATTATTAAATTATTTTTATGATATAATGTATTATATTTAATTATATTATATTATGTATTATATTTAATGTTTTTTAAATCATATTTTAATTAATAATATTATAAAATTAACAATTATAATATAATAGTGTTATTAAAAATATGTTATTCGAATTTTTGTTTTTTCTAAGCTGAAAATAATTAACTTGTTTTCGTTTTGTTTTTTGAAAAATAATAATTTTTTATTTCGGATAAAACGTTGTAACTAAATATATAAACTATTTGAACAAAGTTTAATTATTAAAATATAACTATTTTTTATATTATCATTAATAATATAATAATTAACAATTGAAATTATTTAGAAAACTAGAAATATATTAATAAATCTAAATACATAATAGTAAATAAAAATAATATAAATAAGTTTAGTAATAATACCAAACTTTTTGATATGAAAAAAACTTCATTTCTTTTGGAAAAAAGCGATTAATTTTTGGAGTGTAACGGGATAAATAGAACATCAATGGGTTTTATTATAGTTTCAAACGCGTTAATTATTGGGTGGATCTTTTTGTGACTAAAACAAATGGTTTTTTGTAAATAAAAATATTATCATAGAAAATAGAATTATAAAAAAAACAAAAAAAAAGAAAGAAGATGTCCTAATTATATAATCTAGAAAAAAAAACCATATGAAACCATCTAAAAATACCAAAGAAAACAAGTTTCCAATATTATAGAATAAATATAAAATAAATAAATTATACATAACCCGTTTTATTTCCTTTTTTCGCACCGATTACTTATAAAAAAAAACGTTCTGAAATTCAAAAATTCAAAGCTATTTATCTAAAAACAAATTATTTTTAGTGACTTACTTTTTTGACTAAATTCAAACATATCGGCATATCCCGATTCTTGTTGGATTGAATAGACTTGCAGTTGTTGAATAATTACCATGAAGAAACCAAACCACCACAAATGCCTTATATTAATAGAAAACATATTTCAAAACAAAAAATACAATTTTGTAAGTGACATTGGCGTAAAAAGGCGGGACTTTTTCAAAGGAAAAAGGAGCCGTAGATCAAATAGTTCAGATATTTGGCAAGAGATTCATTAATGGAAACAGAAATAAAACATCTGGCGAAGGCAAGATTTGCCACAAAAAAGACGGACATATAGTCTAAAACGAGTGGAGTGTACGACTTTTCATTTTTTGGTAATTCCCATTCCATTTAATTAGAACGAGTCACCATCATTAATAACTCACAATTTAATTAAACACTTTTGGCCATATACTTTTCTATTCTTATTGTTTTGCGCCTTGAATTAGAAGAGTGTTATTTCCAAACAATAAAACAATCAAAGACAATAACTTTCAAATTGGTTTTCCCAAAAGGGATGCGGAGGAAGTGCCGCAACAAAAGGAAAAAACAGACAAAAGAAGTTTTCTGTACAACTCAAATAATTGTAGTTTTGAAACTGAGATACACCAATCCTATGTCCATCGACGTTACTTCAATGGGAACAACTACTCCACCTGACGACCACGAGTCCTTTCAATCGGACCGTCCCCAGTCGATCTCTTCCAACCTTTCTGAAGGCAGTGACACTGACGAAAAGGAGTTATTAGATGACGAAGAACGTAAAGACCTTGCCGGTGCAAAAGACTCCAAAGCCCCTAAAGATAAAAAGAAGAAGAATTTCCTGTCGAAAACATTTAACTCGTTAGGAAAGTCCTTGAAATTGACTTCCTCCTCGAAATCCCCAAAGCCTTCAAAATCACCAAAACCCCTCTCACCATCCCTCGAGATCTCAGACCCTTCTCTGATCTCTGAAAGTAAAACCACTTCAGAGGCGCAACCGGTCGAAAGTAATGAACTGACAAAAAGCTGCTCTTCGACGAACACAAGAGACTCCGACAAGAAAGAAAGGGCTTCAAATCGGAAGTCGACGTCCTCAACACACAAAGAAGAAGACAATCCCCTCGTCGAGAAAGAAAAACAAGAGAAGGAGACGTCGCCTTTGAAGTCTTCAAAGGAAGACAAAGAGAAGAAGACCACGATGTCGAAGATCTTTAAACCGGCTCACAACGCTTTTAATGCGGGCACCGGCTTCATCAAAAACATCGGAGAGTCAACCAAAGCAGTGTTTACTGGCCACTCCGAGACTCCCGAGGAAAAGGCTGAGCGTGAAAAAGCGGACTCTGAGAGACTTTTAGTGTTAACGCTGTGGAAGCAGAACATAGCGGTCTTCACAAACCCCTCCCCACTGGTCATCCCCAATGATTCGTTGAAAGTGTACTCAAGACCAAATAAAGCGAAGATTAATAAGAAGGAATTAGTCTTCTTATTATGCTCAGATGCCGTCTTTAGGTCGGGTCACTTGGACTGTTGGAGTTCGTTAGTTATGCCGAAGGACGAGTATAATGAGAATGTCACTGGAGTGTCGTTGGTGCCTCTATCAGTGAAGGAAGACGGGTACTTTTTAGAGACGAATAGCGAGTCGGTGGAGAAGAAAAGTGAACTGAAGAATATGTCGATCATCGATGTGGAGTCGGACTTTCCATATTATAAAACGTTTTTCTACGAAAATCCAAATACAAGACATTACTTGTCGAAGGACGAGAATGTTATTGTGTCACTGCAGAGATATAAAGAAGTCGCGCGATGCTTCTTAAGGAACGGGAAGGGTGTGACGCGGTGCTTGATATCGAAAGACGACTTTGAGAGGCCGCAGAACGTGCAGACCTTCTTTAAAGACCCGAAGACAGTGATTTGCCTTGAAAATGCTAATGCGAAAGAACTTGATGACGAGCTCTGTACGATGGAGGAGAAGTCATTGATCGAACATTACAAGTTTGGAGTGATTTACGCGAAGCCGGGACAACACGACGAGAACTCGATCTTTAGAAATATGGAGGAAGAGTGCTCGCCGGCGTTTTTCAAGTTCATGGCGCTGATAGGGAACAAAACGGAGTTATTGGGGTACTCGAATTATAGAGGAGGACTTGATGTGAAGACGGGGACGACAGGGAAATATAGTTATACGAATCACGCGTACCAATTCTATATTATGTTCCATGTTGCACCATTACTGCCGTTATTGGAAGAAGACGAACAGGCTTTAGAAAGGAAGAGACACGTTGGGAATGATGTGGTTGTGTTGGTGTTTAAAGAACAGGCTGATGAGAACGATCAATTTGATCCAAGAATCCTTACGTCCCATTTCAATAGTTTGTTGTTGGTTTCTTAATAATAAGAAGAGAGGAATGACAAATAGGCGTCTTTGTCGTTGTCTCACCGATGAAAAGAACAGAAGACAATACACAATATAGAGTCACGACGTGCACAAAACCATCGATAGACGCGTTCCCACCATTTGAGAATGAAACGGGAATCTATCAACACGGAGACGAACTGAAAGACTTCATCTTAAGAAAACTTATTAATGGAGAAAGAATGTCACTGTTCTCACCTACGTTCAGAACTAATTACAGAAAGACCGTTAAGGAACAACTGAAGGATATGAACGAAAGGTTCTATAAGAAGGAATTGCTCCAACAAATCATCAACCCATTTGATATACACTTGCCATCCACAAATAACTAATGTTAATTGGTGCGTAATGTTGTTTAGCGTTGGTTCTAATTTGTTTTTAATAGTAATAAAAGAATAGCAGGTGTTTTCAAAAGACTATAAAGTTATTTAAATTATAGTCGTGGTTAGACTGCGAATCCAGTCCGTTGCAAAAATAGAATGGTAAAACAAAATAAAACAAATTAATAAACGCATTTTGTTATGTTGTTATCCAATTTTTTTGTTTATTTGAAAAAAATAAATAATTACATTTTTGATTTTTAATTAACACAAATTTCAAGTTATAAATTCAAAAAAATGTTTCTAAATAAACTGTTTTCCAAAACTCTGTACCGTTTCCAAAATTTATATAAACCCTTTGTCCTAATTTCCCATTATTTACTATTTTTTATTTGTTTTATTTTTTATTTTCCTGTTTGTTGAACCAACAACAGTACACAGTTTAAAACCCTTAAAAACCAATACAGTTTCAATTATTGAACAAAAAATCGGGAAATCACCCAAATATTGGGTAAATCTTTCCCGATTTTCCAGGTTCGTTATTTGGTTTGTGTTTCATTTTGTGACTAAACTTCAGTAAAATTCTATCTTTCAAATAAACATAAGATAAACGTAATATAACGATAAACTAATGATGTGATGAAGGACATTATTGCATCAAATGATACAACACTTTAATTAACAATAAGTTTCTATTTATTTCAACAATTAAAAAAGTAATCGATAACATAAAACAAACATTTAAACAATCAAGGTTATTAATCAAAAGAGTCTTAAATAAAATAAACAGTTCAAAAATTTAAAAAACTTTTCAATTGTATAGCCTTAACCAATTTATCTTCTCTCAATGCTTGTTTTACTCGTTTATACTTTTTATTTTTATCCAGAACACGACTTGGTGATTCTGTAAACATAGACATTTAATTATAAAGTTGTGTTTTATGTTTTTGGCAAAATTTGTGTTATGGTAATCAAAATTTTAATCCGAAGTTTGTTTTTTATATTTTTCAAGTAAATTTTGGGTGCAAGATTTATTTGTCAAGTAAATTAAAAAAAATCAAGTTTGTTATTTTGTTTTTTTCGAGTAAATATTTATAACGAAAAATGAGGGTTAAGCAAAGGAAAAATTATTTAGAAATTATTTGTCTAAAAAATCGGGGCATCCCAGTACAGAGTTTTGAAAAACAGTTTACTTATTTCATAATGTTAAGTGTATATAAACTTAAAAATGTTTTGATTTCACATTTTTACATAATTATTTTTTAAAAATCAATTCAATAAAAGAAACAATCGTGTTATAAATTTGTGTTATTATAAATTATTATTTTTATTTAATAATATTAATACATTTAGTTCGGTTGCATTAATGTATTTTTAAAAATAAACAAAATGGTTACAGTAGGGGGAGTGAGGGGCTTGACGAAACTGAGGGGCTTGACCTATACTTTTAATGGTTTATTTACTATATTTAAATAAAAACTATTTTTAATGTTCTATTTAAAAACACAACCTTGACTTATAAATTATAGTTTATAAACCATTAAAGAATTGGTTCATCCTTAGCATAAAGTCGGAACTTGAAATTGTATTAAAAACGACTTGGGTGTTTGTTAGTTGTTTCTCAATTAAGTCATCAGTAGGCGTTAGTCTTTATGTTTGATATGGCTCTCGTTGTTGGCAACTCTTGGATATTCCAAGGCAAACTTTCCTCTTCGGATTTGACCAAATATGTTGGGATAGGCGGAAGAACAAACAATTCCAAGTGTTCTCTGATATAAACACCATTGGCTACCAGTAACAATCTGGAAGCCTCTTCTATAGAAACGAACATTCTATTAATCTTGCCAATATTGACTCCAACAACACCAGAACGCTTATGTGATGCAATAATGATGTTTTTGTTGCTTTGCTCTCTAATGCTCCCAACATATTTTTGGTATGACGAGCAATGGAAACAAATATACTCTCTCAGCTCTCCTTGTTCTCTTAGAACTTGTCATGATCTGCCATCACTATCACTATGTTGTCTCATCCAAAAAATAAATTCAAGTCTTCGGTTACTGCGAAATTGGCGTCAATTGATTTCAATTGTCAAAGTATTCAGTAAGCTTGTATTTTAACAACACCGAATACACAAGCCAAATGGCGAGACGAGTTGGATTGTGTGAGGAACAACTTGTCTTTTATGGCTAAAGGAAATCCTGTCTATGTACAAAGAAGTTGTATTTGTGCTGTTATAGAAACAAAATAATTGAAGCTTTGTGAATTAATTCTTGGTTATTTCAAACAATAGAAATAAGCCATTTAATTTTCTTCATAACACTAAGGTTGTTTACTTTTTCTTTTCAAAAAACGTTTTATTTTATTTTGGATAAGCTAAGAATCTTTTTCTTTGACATTTTTTATAAATTATTTATAGTTTTTGTTATTTTATAAATAGAACCGGGAAAACTCTGTATAGTAAAAAAGATAATAAAACAATAGGTCAAGCCCCTCAGTTTCGTCAAGCCCCCCACTCCCCCTACTGTATTGTTTTTGGTGTTTTTTCCAAATAGTTAATTTACTATACATTGTCATATATAATTATATTTTTATTTTGTGAAAAAGTCTATCGTTATTTTTTCGTAGTTATAATGATTTGAAAAATTGTGGGATTTATCAAACCATTAAATTATAATAAATTATATAAATAATTGTGCTATTCGTTTTTACACAAAAACACATGAAAATTTATTATGATTTTGTACAGATAGTAGAAAAATAGGGTGTCAGGAATAAATTGGGTGTCAAATAAATTAGGGATTAGTTAATGTAAAAAAATGGGTTTTTTTTATTTCCCCCCCAAAAAATATAAAAAACCATTAAATAACTCAAAATCATTCTTACACACAATTTATTCTTGACACACAAATTTTCTACTATCTGTATTATTATAATTATTTTTATCTACAATTCATTTATTATAACACTAGATATTAACCCTTCACTCAGTGAAGTAAATTACACTGTCCTTTCCCACCCTCACCCCGTTTACCAAAATAAAATATTTGCCGCGAGTGTTTTTTGAAAGAAGTCCACTTTTCAGCCACTGTTTGTGCGTCCCCATGTCACCCACTTTCCTTGTCCGTACTGTGTGGACGCGGATGTGGTTCCCCCCTGCTTGTCGGGGGGTCAGGGGGATCCGCGCCAAGGGAGGAACTGGAAAGTGGGTGAAACGGTGCACAAACAGACTGTTTGAGTGCGGCCTTCAGAGCCTTCTTTTCAATGCTCCATTTCGTTCGGTTTCCACTAACTCGAGGTGATTTTTCGGCATTTCTTGAATTCGGGAACCAGACCTAATATTATCCAAAACGCCCATTTACTATAATTATAATTAAAAAATTATAAAATATAGTAAATTAATTCTAAATTTAGACGGGGTGAAAGTGGGAAAGTCCTGCCCGAAGTAAATTGATTTTTTTATAAATAAATAAAACTACAGTTGGGAAAATGAAATTTGCTTAAAATTGTATATTTTTTGAAAAACACGGGTTTTTACTAGAGCTGCCATAATTTGTAAATTACTAAATATTTTTTTGTTTATTTTGTTTTTTAGAAAAATAAAAAATCGGGAAATTAGCTTATTTTTTATTTTTTCAAAAAAACCACAATATTCGAATAGTGAATTTGTTATTTGGTTAATAATTTAATATTAATTTATATTTGATGCTTATTGGAAAACACACGTATCAACAAAACATTAAGAAACTCTACGTGTTATCAAAAAATAAAAAAGAACAATAACAATCAATTCAATTTTTATTTTGGCTAAGTGGTAAAAAACAAATTAATAATATTTTAAATAAAATAATATAGTCCACTTCTTCATCGTGTTAAATACATATAATATTCACATTATCCAATACAACTTTTAAAATCAATTATAATTAAAAATAATTTACAAAAATCAGCCTGACAATTATATTTATTCGGTAAAAATGACAAGATAATAAATAACAGTAACCAATGCGAAATATTTTATTAGTTAAATATTTATCGAGTAAATGTTGTATTACAATTACAATTTGATAGTTGTTTACGTTGTTGGTATTATTAAATACAAATACTAATATTAAAAAACAGTTGATTTAAAATATTGTGTCTCTATTAAGTTACAACCAAAACAAAAACTTTGTGTTTTGATTGAATTTTTATATTATTAATGATATTCAGTTTCACGCTGTTCAATTATTGAAATATAACAACATTTGCTCATAAAATTAGAAACATATTTATAATTAATTATTGTATTTATTTTTGATACTCTATTGACAATATAATATATTCTTTTTTCAACTCATTAAAATAGAGTTTTTAATTACATTTAAAGAAGCTATCAAGATATCAATTTAAATTATCAAACAACAAATATTCAATTGTGTTCATGTCTATTTATTGATAATTCAATCTTTGAATTTAATTATAAATTATAATGACATTAAAATTTTTGATTTTTTTTGTCACTTTTGTATAATTACTATATTATTATTAAAAAACAAACAAATAAACATTAAAATTAATACCATTTATTTTATTGTATAACTACAGCGATAAAAAATAAAGTACAGCTTATATTGATAATTGCATGTAATCAAACATTACTTATGTTTTTAAAACGTCTTTTAATTATTTTTGTTTAATTATACAACATAATAAGAATTGTATTTTGATAACACAACGACGGGTATGCTCCAGTTTAATAAATACACAATTCTTTTATAAATTGTTTATATTTTATAATATGAATTGGTCTAACAATTTCATTATTAACTATTACATTTTTATTAAGAAGCTCTGTTATAATAATTAAAATGCTTATATTTTTAAATATAATCATGAGACATCAAACAATATTTATAAAGTAACACAATAAAATAAAGAGAATATATCTATTTACAACAATTATCAATTTTAACTTGTTTCTAATACACATGATAGCAAAAATGATCATTGCTTTCATTCAAGAGTTAATA